CCACAACGCCCGGCTATTTTTTGGTTGCAGCCGTCATTGTTGTTTGGCGGGTCCGGGCTGGGGATTCGAACCCGCCACCTTAGGTGTACGTGGCTGACGCCTTAGCTGGTTGAGCTATAGGCGCCGAGCCCCAAGACTTGATCTATAAACGAAACACAGTGACAAGAATGTCTGGCCACAGCGGTAGCTTGTCAATTATCATGATGAGCAACGATGAATTTCATTTGTATTTTTTGGGCAGAGGACATGTGGAGCCAGAGTGAATGTCACCAGTAATTAGCAGATTTAAGATCTGATGAGTACTAGGGCCCTCATATGCCTCATGCTTATTTAGTGTATCATGAACATTTAGTGTCTGTCCATCCCTTTCCATGTATGCTCTACTTACTTCATTTGTTCAACACATCATGCAGGCAACCAGCTTATTTACACATAATGTATAAGTTTCATCCATTCCACTGGTTTTCTTTTCTTCTACAGCAGAGTCAAGTATTCTCAAACAATTTAGCAAATACATTTTACAAGAATCCCCAGCCTCTCTAGTCAGCTCAGTAGGCTAGACTGGTGGCTCTTTCTTCAGCTGTCCTCCCCTCATTTAGCTCTGGCTTAGTTAGCAAACTCCCAAGCCACCAGTATACTAAGTCTACTACTCTACCCTGTACCAAGCTCATCAATGATTCAGAAAGGAAACTGGGCCCAGAAACTTCAGGGAAAGAAAACAAGAGCAGCCCAAGAGAAAAAGTTTCTTATCCTATTATTTACTAAATACTTATTGACCAGTGCTGTGTGGAGATGAAACCAATGTTATTCCTGCCTATGGAGGAAGAAAAGTCTTATAAACACATGAAGCAAAACTCATTTATTCATGCAATAAATTTTTGCTGATGCTCTGTTGTGAGTGAAGCCCTGAGAATATAAGGATAAGTTAAATATGGTTCCAGCCATCCATTCAACACACATTTACTAACATGTGCCCTACCCTCACAAGGTACTCTCCTACCATACATACAAATTCATGCTTGTCTCCAGGCCTCTGCACATTTGCACTTTTATTTATTTATGTTTTGAGATGGAATCATACTATGTTGCCCAAGCTGGTCTTGACCTGGGCTCAAAAGGTCCTCCCACCTTGGCCTCTTGAATAGCTAAAACTATAGGCATGGACCGCCACACCCCAGGCTACTCATTTACTTTTCCTAAAGCACTTTCCCCTTCTCACATTGCCGCTTGCCCTGGGCCCCCACTCCTCCTTCAGGTCCCAGCTTAGGCATGCTTTCTTTGAGATGCCTTCCTAGGGCCCAAATCTGAGTGAGGATCCTTTCCTAAATACTCTCGTAACAGTCCCTCTGTTCCCCTGCCCAGTCTTAGCATTTACCACATTGTATTGTACCTACTTACTTACTCGCCTGTGTCCGTCACTAGATCATAAACCCTGGGAGGACAGGGACTATGTCTTACCACAGGATCCTACTGGCATAGGGTAGGAGCTTAACAAATATTTGTTTAATTTGTTCTGGGCACCAGGGACAAAGAGACAAATTAGATATGGTCCTTGCCCTAGAGGAGCTTCAGATTGGGGGGATGATTAGGGTAGAGACAGGCCCATGGAGAAAGCCTGCAGCACTCACAATGATGGCATTGCAGAGATAGGAACAGAGAGCTGTGAGAACACAGAACAGGGAGCAACTCACTCCACCTGGTTAAGGAAGGCTTCGTGAAGGAGGCAATATGTGACTTGGGCCACAAAGGTAAGCTGGACTTCCAAAGGTTGAGGAAGAGCACTCTAGGTGGAGGGGACTATGAGTAAAAAAGCATATAATTTTATCCAGGGAAAGGAAATAGGTTCAATGTGGCAGGATCCAGCCACAAGGGGGGTCCAGCTCCCAAGACCCCCTACCAGCAGGTCTGCTACTGGACCTCACTGAGACATGGGCACCCTGAGCAGGCTGATAATTTGGAACCCCTTCAGATCAATACTCTTTAAATACTTGCCCAATATTTATTTTGTGGAGGGCGAGGAGAAACCGATTTAAATCATCCCCTCCAATAAACAGCCTCTCCCAATGTTGCTCAGTTGCTGAATGTCTGCTGACTAACCATCAGTGCAGATCACACCAGCAATAAGCCTGCTTCAGTAAAGAGGCTTGTTTATTCTTATATGAGATCTCTTTGACCTGAGTAGATTAAATGTTTACATTTCACTGACTTCACCCTGTAATGTCTTAGCTCCTTCATAGGATCCCTCCCCATTCCCCCACCATAATTTAACTCTGATGTAGGAGGAGGACAGTTCCACCCTATCCTCTCCTGTCCCCCTGCAACCTTACTTCAGGCTTCCTATGGTTTGAGTGCAAGGAAGTGTGGATCGAGGGCCTGCGCAGTTACCTCCTGGACTGGTGGAACTTCCTAGATGTGGTCATCCTGTCCCTGTACCTGGCAGCTTTTGCATTGCGCCTCCTCCTGGCTGGGCTTGCTCACATGCACTGCCAGGATATGCCTGATGGAGCTGCCTGCCATTATTTCACCACAGCTGGTGAGTGTCCCCCTGACTTGGTCTTGAACTCCCCAGTTTCTCTTTATTCTTGCCTTTCGGCTCTCAGCTGCAGCCCCCATTCCACCCTGCTCAGAGAGAAGCGAGTGGCGCACGGAGGATCCCCAGTTCTTGGCAGAGGTGCTCTTTGCTGTCACCAGCATGCTCAGCTTCACCCGCCTGGCCTACATTCTGCCAGCCCACGAGTCACTGGGCACGCTGCAGATTTCCATTGGCAAGATGATCGACGACATGATCCGGTGTGTACTGTCCCATTCAGAGCACACTCCTTCTGATAGACTCCACTCAGCCTCCTTCTGAAACTCCCAGCACTGCTATAACTAGGGGTTCTTAACCTGCACTCTTCCAGAGCCATAGGCTCAGAGACCTCTGAACCCCTGAAACTATAGGCAAAAGTTGGAGTGTAAATATACATTTATTTCCCTGCAGAGAAGGTCTACAACTTTCACCTAACGAGATGAAAGAAGCCCACGACCCCAGAAAAAATGACGAACCACACTCATAGCAGAAAGAGCCTTTGGTTGAGTGTTCTGGTCCCAGTTCTGTCACTATCTCCATGATATCTCTCTGGGCCTCATTTTTCCCACCTTTGAGGAAAGCCAAGGCACTGGAATCTGGGGTTCCTTTGGTTCCTTCCCGCTCTGCAACTGCTCTACAACATTATCTGGTCTTCTGAGTACTTATCACCTAACCATGTTCAGCCAAACCTGGCCCTTCCCTAAGAATCCCCTGCCTGAAGTAGAATCAGAGTGGATGCCCTTGGTGGGAAAAGCCCTAGTTATGTTTTTTAACAATTTCAGCCCAGTTAAGCTTGAGAAAGACCCTCCCACCCCACCCTGGCATTCTTCTAGCCCTCTCTGCCGCAGGGTAATTCTTTCTCACATTCGGCTTTAACTCTTCCAGTGATAACTCCAGTCCCATAGGATTCTTTGACTCCAGCCATCCTTGTGCCATTCCCACATGTCTCAGCATCTCAGTCCCTCCCTGTAGACTGGTCCATCCCCAGCTTTGACCCATTATTCCTAAAGGAGAGTATCTGCTTGTTGCTACTTTAAATCCCTTCTCATTTCCCACTCCCCAATTTTCCTTTTTTTTTTTTTTTTGAGTCACAATCTCATTTTGTCGTCCTTGGTTGAGTGCCATGTCGACATAGTTCACAGCAAATTCTTGGGCTTAAGCAATTCTCTTGCCTCAGCCTCCCAAGTTGCTGTGGGAGGTACCTGCCACAATGCCCTCCTATTTTTAGGGATGAGGTCTCATTCTGGCTCAGGCTGGTCTTGAAATCATGAGCACAGGCAATCCACCCACCTTGGCCTCCCTGAGTGCTAGGATTACAGGCGTGAGCCACCGTGCCCGGCCCCCTATTCTTAATTATAACCAAATTGAATACTTGTCAAGTAGAGAACTAGGAAAGCCCATCACCCTGATCCCTCTTCCCAAAGCCTGACCTCTCCCAGTGTAGTGACCTACACTGACCCTTCCACATCCCACTCTCTCCAGGTTCATGTTCATCCTCATGATCATCCTGACTGCCTTCCTCTGTGGCCTCAACAACATCTACGTGCCCTACCAGGAGACAGAGCGGCTGGGCAAGTATGCTGGGGCAGAGACAGAATGGGCAGGTGGAGAGTCTGGGACTTGCATCTTGGGGTCACAATGGTCTCCTCTTCCTTTCTTCCTCCCTCCATCATTTATTCATTCAATTGATTTTCTTTTTTTTTTTTTTTTTTTTT